CCCCACCCGCTCTCCATGCCCAGTCGCACCAACAGTTCATGTTTGATTTCCCCATCACGTTTCATCCCTGTAGATCGATATTTAATTGGACGGGCTTATCTAGTCTTAATAGTCGGTGACTGCACGCAGAGGTCCCAAAAACCTATGACGCCAAAAAATTCTGCGTATTTCACCATCTTTGTCCGGTTTAAATGTATTCCAGGAAAACAGTGCTTTTGGGCAGTCAGGTCAGTGGTCTCGTCCAGAACACGAGCATGTTCACCACTAACCAGATCGGTGAGCGCCCTACTATGCATCCTATGCCCGATCGCAAACGACAAAAACAACGGCCCCGTAGCTCAATGGTAGAGTGTTACACTCCGTGAGCAAAGGGCTGCGGATTCCAATCTCGGGCGATCCACACCTGGGATCGGGTATGACCGGCTGATGACGACTAATAGGTCATAAATGGTCATCATTTCGGTCTCCCTTGTGGTTGTCTATTCTACTGCAGTAGATTTTACAAGTCGCTATGCGACTGCTAGCTAGGGTAGCATCGACGCACAACAGGAGGACGAGCATGTTTTCTAACCAGGTCGGTGAGCGCGATTGGGGTGATTGGTTTGCGGTATGGCTGGCAGATAACAGCTATAAAAGCCAAAACGGGCAGGCAGGCAAAGAGCCCGTGGCGCGGAGTGGTAAGCACGCCGAACGTCTAGCCAACAATGGGTAACTGACTGAGACGAAAGACTGGAATCGCTGTTTTCAGTTAAATAACTGTCAGGTCTTGCCGCCCTATATAGGCTGCCTCCAGGTAGCGCAAGGTCCGAGTTGTTCGCGCCCGAATAAGTACTCGGAAAGTTTTAGGGCCCACAGAATGACTCGTATCGGGTAAGTCTCCCCTAATGGAAGACCGAGGTTTTCTATTTTCCTGTTTGAATAACCAACTAGGCAAGTGTTTCTTGGCTCTAGCTGCCAATTGCCTTTGCGGTCGCCCTATGTACTTGCATTCGCAAGTGCATGTAAATTCACAAACACAATTGAAAGTGGCGTGCAATGGTAAGGCGCCCTTAGCACAAGGAGTTGGTAAGGGCTTAGTTGGAGAGCAAAATATAAGTTCAGCAGCTTAGCATGCTCTTTCGATGGCGTTGAGAAGACCTCTCTTGACGGTATTCACAATGTCATCGCCCTTAAAGGGCAAGGAAATGAAAACAGGCTTTTAGGTGCTAACTGCTCAGTCAAATTAGGTCGTAGGGATTTACTATACTTGTCTATAAACTGAGTTGAAGGGAAGTATAGTAAACCCCTACGACCTAAAATGGCTGAGCAGTTAACACCTAAAAAGCCTGTTTTAATTTTCTTGCCCTTTAAGGGCGACAACATTTTGAACATCACTCGAACATGTCCCTTCTTCCCCACCCTCGGCCGCCAGACATCACTTGGGACTCGGCCAGTCTCCTGGGTGGTCGTGTGCTCCCAAGTCCAAATTCTTCTTCCTTATTTTCCGTTCGTGGGTACACAATAAACTATTCCTTCTATTCTGGCCTACATCGAGTTCTTCTCTACTAAGTAACTATGGTCTGAAGGTCGCAGTTGCTAGGGTTTAACTTACTTAAGCCCCTGCGATAGGCTCATCAATCTGGATAAGGATCATCTAAAGGTGCGACTGGCAACGGGACGAGCGTGTTTCTTAACTCAATCAGTGAGAGTCACTCTAACCTAAATATGCTAGAGTTTACACAGCTTTGGACGCGATCATCATCATCATCAGGTTATTTTGGACAAAAAAGTACCTTTCGAGTCGATCCAGTACCTCCAGGGCCATCTGAAACATAATTCTTTCCTCGTCAGAATCAAAATGTTTGAGAAGCGCGGCAGGATCGACCAAGTCAGCCGGGTCATCAGGTGTGTGTTCAGGTGCATTCAGCGCTATATAGTTGCGGAAGATTGAGTACAGTTCACACAGACACCGAGCGCAGTATTCGTGTCGCTAGACGGCGGGTAGGGGGAGGGGGAGGGACAAGAGACCAGAAGACATAAAATGGTGAGGTTGGCAGAGTCAAAAATAAATAAGACGACATGTGCTCCGAAGTAATAACTATGACATACATCATCACAGCATACTCTCGCTACCATAGAGGACTTTCTTCATAGCGGGGAGCAAAGTGTTTCGCAGGATGACGCTGAATCATGCTCACACCACCAGTTAATTATGCTGACTGCAGGAGCAAAGGCGATAGAACTCAAACGACGACAGCGATACTGGTGGTGGTAGTTGTTGTTGTTGTTGCAGGATCAATTGCAAGGTAAGTGGCTTTAGAAC